AGAAATTCAAATGGCCAAAAAACACATGAAAAAATGCTCACCATCCCTAGCAATAAGGGAAATGCAAATTAAAACCACACTAAGATTCCACCTCACCCCACTAGAGTAGCCATCATTAGCAACACCACTAACAACGGTGTTAGCAAAGACGCAGGGCTAAAAGAACCCTCTTACAATGCTGGTGGGAATGCAAACTAGTAAAACCACTCTGGAAAAAAATTTGGAGACTTCTTAAAAATCTAAACATAGATCTACCATATGATCCAGCAATATCACTCTTGGGGATATACCCAAAAGAATGTGACACAGGTTACTCCAGAAGCACCTGCACACCCATGTTTATTGCAGCACTATTCACAATAGCCAACTTATGGAAACAGCCAAGATGCCCCACTACTGAAGAATGGATCAAGAAAATGTGGTATTTATACACAATGGAATTTTATGCAGACATGAAGAAGAATGAATGTTATCATTCACAGTTAAATGGATGGAACTACAGAACATCATTCTGAGTGAGGTTAGCCTGGCCCAAAAGACCAAAAATCACATGTTCTCCTTCATATGTGGACATTAGATCAAGGGCAAACACAACAAGGGGATTGGACTTTGATCACATGATAAAGTGAGAACATACAAGGAAGGTATGAGGATAGGTAAAACACCCAAAAAACTAGATAGCTTTTGTTTTCCTCAATGCAGAGAAACTAAAGCAGATACTTTAAAGCAACTGAGGCCAATAGGAATAGGGGACCAGGAACTAGAGAAAAGGTTAGTTCAAGAAGAATTGACTTAGAAGGTAACACAAATGCACAGGAAATTAATGTGAGTCAACTCCCTGTATAGCTATCCTTATCTTAACTAGCAAAAGCCCTTGGTCCTTCCTATTATTGCTTATACTCTCTTTTCAACAAAATCAGAGATAAGGGCAAAATAGTTTCTGCCTGTTAGTGAGGGGTTTGGGGGTTAAGGGAGGGGGCTGGGGGAAAGGGGGAGAAATGACCCAAACATTGTATGCACATATGAATATAATAAAAATAGAAATAAATAAATAAATAAAGTACAATGTGGATATTTTTCTATAGTATGCAATAGTCTATAACACTATATGTAGTTATAGAATATTAATCTTTCAGATATGTTCCATATTACATATGAACTATTTGAATTTGAGTTTTTATTCTCAATTTTATACTATGAATAAGACTATTGAACATATTCACTTCTAAATTTTGCATTTTTATTAAATTATTAGAAGAACCTTAGGAGATATTTCTAAATATGACACTAATTTAGACAAAGGATATTAATACATTTCCAAACTCTTATTGAAATTTTCCAAAATTGCTATTCGCAAATTTTGTGTTATTAAGGTTTTCTTCTGGAACTGACTTTACAATGTTGGTTTCACAAATGCAGTAATATTACTGGACATGGGTTCCACACTAAGAGGAGAATGTGCAAGAGAAGAATAGGGAAAAGAAAGGAAAACTAAAACTTGAATGTGGTTGAATATCCTGTGGGGTGGGCAGAGGTGGCCAAAATAATGTATACACATGTAAGCAAGTGTGAAAATGATAAAAATAAAAATGAAATGTTGGTTTCATCCATACATAACTGGATTCCTCCACTTTTTGATTCTTAAAGTCCTTTGTATCTATATGTGTGAAATTTATGCTTTTTTCTGTTTTCTTTTCATGTTTTTTTCTACCTGACTTGTCAATTATAAATTCCAATCTCATTTATTTGTTAAACTATATTACTTCTTTGTGTTTTCAATGTTAACATCACTAGTTGTTCTCTTGTATTCTTAAAATCACAGGGGGAGCAAAAAATACAGCTTTCCGTACCTCCTGACTATAATTAATATCTATGTTAGGGGTACTAGGACACTAGGCTTAATTTAAATCAAAAACTGTCCTCATTTAAATAAAAAGTGAAGTAAAATATTATTAGTCTAAAAGGTTAACATTTATCAAGATATAATTAGTTGATTATGCACTTTACAAACTAGGTACATATGTGAGTTGAAAGCCTTCCATACATAAATTTTCTCATCAGTACTATGATAACTTGAAGATGTCTAAAAGTTCCTAACAACTTGCTTTTAAGCAAATCTACCACCTGATTTGGGCCAGTGGCCTAAACAGAAAGTTCTTAAGTGATTAATCAGGACAATTCTTTCCATCTACTCATTTCCTACTACAAAGACCTCTTTCATTACAGAGCAAAGATACTGATAGTTTTTTTTTTTTCCTCACAACAGGGACCTCTTTCATGCTCCTGCTTCATTTATAGGAATAAAACTTCACTGACAAAGTTCACAGATGTAGCAGCACAAAGGGTCACAAGAGCTTGTTTACTTTCTGTTGTATTTACTTAAATTAACCAACTCAAATATGTTGCAAGACCTACTATACACAATCACAGTATCAACTCTTAACCTAGCCAGTTCTTCTTTTGGATATTTTCGAACTTCACAAAGTAAATTCTGCCTTCTCTGCATAGCTCCAGAACTTTGGGAATGGGAGTATTTGGGTTTATTGCCCCATATTTACAAATCCTCTTGCTCTATTCCTCTAAATAAACTGTGTAGGAAACCTTGATTCACTTTGACATGAACATTAAAGTCTGTTTAAATAACAGACCTATAAAAGTAAAGAAAATACCAAACAGCATGAATATACCTTAGCTAATGAATATTCATGAAAAAACATTAATTGCAAATATGTCTGCTAATTGCATAAATGTCTTAATGATGCATAAAGGCTTTCATAAATCATTTTGTATTTTCAATAATAGAGTAATTGACTAATTCTACTCTTTACTCTGATTCCATTAATTTTCTCATAGAAAATTTTAATTTTAAATACATTTAAAGAATATATTTAACAAATCTTCCTTTGAATAATTTATAGATATGAATTACATGCATCCTTATTGATGTAATCATTGTGAGCACATTTCACTTTGTATTATTTTTTAAGAATATAGCTCATGCATTTTATTTTTAGTGTTCATTGAAAAAAATGAGAAAAACTCATTCTTACATGCAAAATTTTAATTATGTCTCTCAGATGTGTGCTTTTAATTAACTGGTGACATTTCTTTTGTTCAATTATTATTGTTCTATACAACTGTCATAAACTTATAAATTTTAATTAAGACTGCCCCAAACCTAGTTATGTAGTGTCCACAGAGGAATTTGCCAAAGGGCTAAACTGTAAGTAAACCAACAATGAATAAATCCATGAAATGCCCACTGGGATTTGTTTAACAAATTAACGTTTGTGTGGATATAATGAGGTTCTACGGTCTATAATACCAAACAAGGTTTTTATAAAACTACAATTTTAAAAGTGAAAAATGCTTCATAAATGACTTAATTGGATATCATATTGTTATTACTAGATTCTATAAGGCAAGAAACTACATGACCATATCTCAGTTTGAATTCATATGAGAATTAGTGTATTATTGCTAATCTAAGATGTAATTTTTCCAGAACATATCACCTACAGTAATCAAGGTCTAATAATTTGGGTTCATAAAGTTGATATATTACATATTATAAGAATGCAGCTGGATCTGGATGGATGATTTGAACATAAAATTAAAACCTGTGTTGTACCTATATATAATTCAGGATGCAAAACACTGTAACAAATTCAATCCCATTGAATCCATCAAGGTTGAATAGATAACCATAGTATGGAATGTCAAATAGTTTAATTGGCCTAACTATTTCTAAAAATAAACATAAAAAATCCAGCTATAACTCAATGATCTTAATTATCCTATTGTGAAAATTACTGCCAATTAGATAATTAAATCTCCAAATAAGTAATTTAGCAAAAAATGCTTCTTTACTGAACGAAATGGTACCTGTTCTACTAAACAATCATATACCCCTTTGTTGAACTCATATTCTCATTTGCACATTCAATATGGGACCCAGTACCATAATTTCTCCTAGAGTAATAGAATATACACTACTGTATGTACTAGTATCCCTTAAGCAATATTTTAAAGTACCAAACTTTTACTGTTAGAATGAAAATCAAAAACAGCTTGATTTCTCTGAACTTTGTTGAAAATTCTTCTTCATATGACTTTTTCAGTTGACATTATGCTAAATACTTCAAAGAATACCATGAGCAATAGAGGCTGTGAGAACTCCTAGTAAGATATAAATTTACTATGTAGGGGATGTGAAGAACATATAGATTGATTTTCCACTTGACTAACTAAGTTTGCATTTGTGGTAGTAAAATTAAATGTGCATAGATTGCACTTTAATAGTTGCATAATGTTCATTGCACTGAATATTGAAATTTGCAAATTAGATTTTCATTATGCATTGAGGTTATTTTTTCTCGTGGGAACATATTTTAAATTTAATGGCAGTCAGTAGGAGAATATGTTCAGTGTTCACTTATATTACAGAGAGAACAATTTGCAAACATAGCTATTGCATAAATTAATAATAATATAAAGTATATCCTAACATGTAGCAAGCATATTATGTAATACATTATTCAATGCCTACAGATGATTTGCAACTTTAGATGGGACAGAATGCTGTCAGATGCTCTGGTATATTTTATTCACATTTAAAATGACCCCAACTTTCAGTATCTGTTCATTTTGATTTTTAGAAAACTATATTTGTGCCTTAAATACCACAGATGTTGGAGTTAAACATGTAGACACTGGAAAACTTGCAGTATTAACTGAGCTAGGGTCAAAATATCTATAAGCACTGAACTTGGCACATGGTACACTCAACACATAGCTCATTAATATTGTTGAATTTTTTCACCTCAACTTTGATACACTGAATTTAGAACAAATGCCATTGTGTTGAATTAATCATTAAGCTTAATCTATTCTTTAAGATATCAGAGATTATGTTTGTAATATTAAGTATTTTTCTTTTTATTCCACATACAATGAAAAATAAAGGTGATTTGAATATATAAATATTCTCAGATATTTACCCAGAATTGATGGTGTGCAAGTTCCTCCATTTTGACAGTAGTTACTACAGTGGTTGACTTCACATCTTTCTCCTGAATAACTTGGCCAACAGTGACACCTCAAATCACCCTTCTCATTTAAAATGCATCTCCCTCCATTTTCACAAGTCAGTTTGCAGGAATCATCTGATTATAAAAAAAATTATAGATTAATATATCAATCAGGAATGAGTGAATAAAATTCATCCAAATAGACAAAATATTTAAATATTAGAATTGTATTTTTCCTAAAATAACTAACTCTAAGCACAAAATTTAAAGAAAAATTAAACACTAGCTGAAAAGAGAGGGATAGCTCTTGTTCAATGGTGAATGGAAATATTAAAAAGCCGTTTTCCTTTATACTTAAAGTGTTTTTAACCATTTCTTATATTTGTTAAATACTGAATAATAAAATCAATTAAAGCTCTCTAAAGTAAGAAAGTTCACAATGTTGAAATTTTCTTTTTATGAGCAGACACTGACTATACTATGAGTAGTTAATATTAAATCAAAATGAAATATCTAAGATATATTTATAGCATATATGTCTATTATTTATACTATAGAGGAGTGTTTAAATGAAAAGATCCTCTTTGATGTCAGTCTATATTAGTTACACAAAAATATCTCAAGGTTGAAGTCATTTTATTTGGTACAAAATAATGGCAGAACAATGTCAAAAATATTTCCATCTGTAACATTTGTTCTAAATATTTAGCCACAATCTGTCCACTTAATGACATTTGGTTGAGAACAAGAAATGTTCATTTTGGGGAATAGCAAAATCACCTTTCACAATAAGGGTAACATATTCTATGATAAAGATTAGTCTGGAAACATCTGTCAAGTTATTTTGCTATGCGCATTGACATGGCTTTGACTCATTAGAAATACTTCATTACTTTGAGCAAAATACAATGTCTGATAGGACAAAAACAATTGATAATAAAAGCATTCTATTTTAGAATATGACATATTCTAAAGTGGTATCTATTTATACAGTAAACTTAAGTGAAATCAATAGGGCCTAAATTTCATATTTTAGATACTTTGGCCCTTTCTTGACAGAAACTTGACAATAACACTGCAATTATTACAATAATATCAAAAAGGTTTAGTTGTTAAGATTCAGATTAGAATTACTAAATTTGTATATATAACATGAAGGAATCACTTAAGGGGTAATATGTATGAACTATCATATATATGATAATGGTATAATAAGACCTATATTTAGGTTCTAGTTCTGGCCTTCACTACACATACAAACTAACTTATCTGAGCCTCAGTTACTTCACTATAAAATGGCATTAATAGCACTGGATATGGTGACCCACAACTGTTATTCCAGCACTTGGGAGGCTGAGGCAAGAGGATATGAGTTTGAGGCCAATCTGGGTTATAGAGTGAGACACTGCCATATACAAAACAAACAATAAAAACTATGACTTATCTCACGCTTGTTGAGAAAATTAAAGAAAAATTTGAAGAAAATTAAGTATAAGACTTTGTAAGCATTAAGTACCCAAGTTGTACAATACACACATACACACAAATGAGAGCTTGACCTCAAGATAGTCTAAATATCTAACATATCTACACTAGTATGAAGATGGAGAGCTGAGTGTTCGGTCCCTAAGAAGTAATCCTAAATTTCAGCAGTCAATTGAGTCACTTATTTTGGTAAATAAAACAAGTAACATCTCTCAGCAGCATTTCATGATCGTGTACAAGGTACACATTTGAGTAGAGCTCAAAAGGAAAAGCAGTTTTGAAGGTCAGAAGGTGAGCAGTGGGGGAACCGAATTAAAGTCACTGTGCCTGGACCATGATTAGAGAGTGTGTAGGATGGAATTACAAGAGCTAAGCATCTTTGAAGAAAAGGTAAGTGGAGAATTAGAGAAGGTCATTGGATTTTGGACTCTCTCTCCAACATAACGTAAAGATTTGAAGCTTGGGAATGAAGGCACTGGCAGGTGTTAAACTGAAAGCAGGGAGACAATTAGAACTGTGTTAAATTATCATGGCAAAGTAAAATGATGGCCTAAAATATAACAATGGGGTAAATAAATATAGAATTATTTTTAGGGTAATTATTGAGTAAAAATCACATCGGTGATATATAAGTAGAATAAGAGAAAATTAAAGTGATTCTTTAGTCTGTGACTAAGATAATTATATGGGAACATGAGGATAACAGAAAATAAAGGAGTGATTTTACTTTATTTATTTAATTAGAGATGCTTCTCTGCAAATGCATGTTGGAATCGCCAACAAAATATTAACGGGTGAGATTTTATAGGAACATCTGGAGTGGAAATCTGCTTGCTCAGGTTAAGACTTGCCAAAACTCATTCAACAAAATTTATCCTAACAGGAGCTTTGATTGTAAACAACAAAGATAAACATTTAACCCATTATGAACATAGTTAGGATTATTATGGGGAGACTAATTTCCACCTCTAGATGTTATATGTTAATCTAACAGATATTCAAAATGTGTACATGTTGGTGCATGTCATTTCTAGTACACATCACATCAGGCACCAGAAATTTCAAAATATGATGCTGCCTGATGAAATGGGAGTTCAGTTACATTTTTTTGGAAAACTTACAGTAATAGATCTATGCTGAAAATAGAAGTCTGCTTTTGTCAATAACTAAAACACCTTTAGAAGCCAAGCTCCAGCAATTACAATCAACCATAAGAAAGAGCAATGAACACTTCCCCCAAGAGTGAGCAATATCTGAATTTCAAATTTCTTACATGAAGATTAAAAATACTCAGTGTGCTTAACATTTAACAATAGCAGCTAGAGAATGTCACTTAATTATAAAGAGTAAAAAATTTGGCTCAATCAAATGTTAGTGTGAGGAAACATTAACTGGAATTTATCTACACCTATCAAGAATTCTGAAATCCACTTATTTATGTTCCTAATTGAAGTTCTTTAAACTGTTTGTCACAAAGGGTAGATGTGTAGAGAACACCTTGAATATGGCAGCATATTGCTGTCCAAAACACCAATCATGAGTCACTCTTAGTTCTCTATCAAGACCTTCCTGGCCACCTACAATGGCACTTTTTACATCCTATATTTAACTGAAATAACTGGGTGTGTTTATGCCTTGTTTCTATATCTTTTCAGACAATATTTTCTGTCTCAGTGTCCTCTGTCCTCAAACTCACGTAATCTAAATCCAATATGTCTTTGTACATCTTATTTGAAAGTCATATCCTATAGGAAATTCAAACTAATCTTCTAATTGGATAACCATCTGAATCCTTATAATGGTCTTAAGACAGCTGTGACTGGCATAACTATGCAAATAAATATCATTCATTGGTGTTCATATGATTCATCATTTCATCTTTTAAACCTCTTTAGCTTTCCATATACAGTGCTTAAAGAATGTATATTAAAAGATAAAATTATGAGTTTCTGAAGACAAAAGTCTTCGAACTGATTATGTAACCCTCAGCAGAGAACAAACAGAAAACAATAGTGGGGCCAAAATGTTGACTGAAGGTGAGGACAATGTTCAGGTGAAGAGTTCATTTTCACACATGGAAATATAATGAGGAGGTAACCTTGCTATGAAGACTACAATGTTTGTATTTCAGTGGAAAATGGTGTTAATGCGATCCACAAAAGATTTTGGATCACAGTGGTTTTTGAAACGTTAAGTTTAACAAGTATGAATTCTCTTTTCTCTTAATAGTAATTTTCCCATTATGATTAATGTCCTAGTTGTGAGAGAATTTATTGTCAATCTAACAGGATATTCGAGAGAAGACATCTTTACTTGTCTCTTCATACTGTTTTATGTTATTGTGTTTACTATTTATCTTAGAATCTGAAATGATATTTCAAATTTTTATTGTTTTTATTGCTCATTCCAAACGTGAAGTTTTAAAACACAAATCACATGTATTAATCCTTTGTTTCTAAATAAATATTATGCTTTGCTCATAAATCCTCAAATAAGAAAAATTATTGTTATTAGTACCACCAGTGACATACATTATGAATCAAATTCTACACAAAAGAAACTGAGACTTAGTTTCTAAACTAATCTTTGGTTTCCAAATTAATATTTAGCACACAGGAGGTATTTAAAATAAATTTTTTTAATGAATAAATGGATTTGGGTATTGTGTTTAAACCCACAGCAGAATGTCATCTCAAAAATATTATCTCTAATGCAAGAGGTATAAAAAATGTTTTTAGATTCTATGGGTAACTTTAAAATTCTCAGTTTAGTAAGCCCATGATACGTGTTCAATACTGCTTTGTAAACAAAGGTAGAATGAGTTGGTAGGAAGTCTAATGCAGAGAGAACAATTTACAGAAGCAGTCAAGAACCATTAATAGAAGGCAGCTAAATTAATGATGGAGCAGGTAATTCTGCTCAATTTCAATAGTTTTGAAAAGATATCACAAGAGTTAATTGATTACTTACAGAATAATGCAGAATACATACCTAATAGGATGTCATCATTGCAGGTTCCATTAATTAAATATTTTCCTTCTGGACAGACACATGTACCCCCAGAAGGATTCAGCAAGCAGAGAAATTCACATTCTAAATCCAAGCAAGGATTGGGTACTGATGAAAACAAAATTAAAGAAAACAAAGCTATAAGGATAGTTACAATAAATTTTGAAACCATAAAATTCATTAACGTGAAATGACTGAGCAATGTTAGAAACAAATCACATCAATGTTGACTGAGAGTGTCTCATTTCAATGTTAGCATTCTTCTTCACAGGTAAAGAGAAATTACTACCCAACACCCACCATTAACAAGAAATTTGCTCTAATTATGCTTTCCAAAAGGGAGAAGAAATTATTCAAATCTATTCTTTTGTCTCTACGACTAATTCCTTTTTGGCATGAGAATTGTTCTTAGAGTCTGAAGTGCAATTTAGGGCTGTGTTTAAAAGTGAATCCAACTGAAGTCCTGTGGGATCTGAGCCTCATTGCAGATCTTCAAACAAAAACAATTCCCTACACTCTGATATGTACAAAGGCTTACAATGCATAAATGTCAGTCGGTTCAAAACACAAACTTTTAAAAAGTTTTTAAGATAGTTTCCTTTCCATCAAGTAGCAGTTTGTATGCACATGTAAAATGCATACAATACTTACTTTTGTATACATTTCTATATAATCAGCATTATTTGTAGCCACAGTTGACTCATGGCCTTCCCTAGAGATTATTTCATTACGATGAAATAGAACTGGTAAGCAGACAGCTGAATTGATATCTGTGAAAGTGGCTTTCTATAAGAACCGTTGCTTGAACACCTACTATATTTAGAGCAAAGATTAACTAATTTTTTTAACTAATTGTGAATCTGGCAATATTTGATTATGAATCAGATACAGCTAGAATTTGAGATATGTCCATACATATCAGATTATTAGTAAAAAGCAGCAAGACTTTCAATAGAATTTTAGGAAATTATGTTTTGTTTTAATCTGTTCCCAAAATTGATTTGGATAAATACCAATTGTTATTGTTCTGGGTAATTGCACCAAACAAGATAAAATGTTTTTAGTTGCTATAAAGAATAACTATAAATACATGTTTCACAATTTCTTAGGGAGAACTGATACATAAAGATATTTTGTTAGCTTCTCGACACTATTTTACTTTGTTCTCCAATGTGTTCAAAACATATTTTTTCAACATAATTACCTCAAAGATTTATTTACCTACTCTTTTCTAGGGAAAAGAGTAACAATAATAATAAATCCTTCCCAACAACACAAAGAAAATACAACTCTTGGGAAGAATTCTCCTTAAATATTTTTAAGGCTGGAATGTTAGGCTAGAAACTTGATTATCAGTAAATGGCTATTGATGAATTTCCAATCAAATACTTTCATTAATAATTTTAGAAAAACAAAATGATACACATTTTTGGCGACAAAGTCAATGTTGACTGTAAGAAACACAGTCAATTGCTGAAAATGTTCAGCAATATCAGAAGTTATATCAGAAGTATAAACATGTCTGTATCTTCAGTTTGAAAAGTCTGGTGATATCAAAATTAAACTTAACTAACTTATTGGGGTAAGGTATTGAAATACTTAAGGTATTTAAAAATATATTCTTTTCAGATGTATAGAAAAGATCATTCACCATATAGACAACTTTATGAAATATACTTACAGTCCAGTTGTTTATATCGGTGAGATATCAAAACCCCTTTTGTTTTATCAACATCTAAAGCTAAGTACTCAACTGAGCCATATCCAAATTTTTGTACTTTAAATACACCATTTTTAGGTCCTGCTCCATATACATAATCTTCAAAGATATCAATCCTATGTGGATGTAGTAAACCTGGAATATTAAAAAACTGGAATTATAAACATTCTAAAGTGCATACTCCGACTTAAAAAATATTTAAGTTTATCCAAGATAATGCAGAAATTCTTATTACTGTTCAGTAAAATGTTCAGATTTGGAAAATATTTTTAATATTAGTTGTGAAGCTGTTAGAATTAATTTCTTGGCAGTAGAGATGTGAGAGATGCTAAAAATGTCACTCAGAACATTAAAAAAAACATTTCTATTGTCACTTTAATCATCTTTGTGATCACCAAGCATATTCTGGGAGTAATTATATGCAGAATATTCCTCTCTGTTACATAGTTGGCAAACAAAAGAAAAACTGCACAAGGCCTAGCCTCATAGTTAGCAAAAAAAGAAGAAAAAAAAATCCTGACAGTTCATGAAACTTGGTTAGTGTTCTTGATGAAATTGTTAATTTATTCTTTATCATTTATACATTTATTCATATGTGTATATACACTGTTTGGGCCACCACTCACCCCTGCACCCCTTCTCCCTCCACCCCTCTCTCTTTCAGACAGAATCTGTTCTGCAATCTTCTCCAATTTTGTTAACGAGAAAACGTAAGAGTTAATAAGAAAGACATAGCGTTTTTGCTAGTTTGAGATAAAGAGAGCTATACAGAGAGATTCCTAGTATTGTTTCCATGCTTATGTGTATTACAACCCACATTGGTTCATCTCTACCAGATCTCTTCATCATTTCCTAGTCCCCTTCCCATAGTGATCTCTGCCAGTTTAAGATTACTTCATTCGCTCCTCTACAGTGGGGATATTAAACACTTTCAAGTTTTAGGCTTCCTTCCCATTCCCTATTCCTCCTGTATGTGTTCTCTACTTAGTGTGTGACCCATGTCAAATAATATTACTGCATTTGTATAAGCAGCATATGAGGGAGAACATACGGTTAGAGATGTGGCTCAAGAGATACAACACCTGCTTTGCAAGTGCAAAACCCTGAGTTCAAATCCCAGTCTCACCAAAAAAAAAAAAAAAAGATGAAATTGAAAATTTAAATCAATCATGAATGACTAGTTCATCATCATGCTGAGTTCCAGGTTGGTAGAGTCTGGGTGGCAAGACTGCATCTCAGAAAAGAAACAAAAATTGACATTATTGTCTGTTTCAAAAACAGGATGAAGAAAACAAACTGGCAACCACATGAAAAATTTGACTAAAAACAAGAGTGACCACCAAGTGGGAATTATTTTAATACTATTCTATCAAAACAAAAATTCATTGAAATTTTGGTGCCGAAATTTGCAACAAGAAAAATGACAGTTATATTTTATTAATGATCTAAAGATTTTAAATAACAAAGTAACTTTTTGTATAATTTTTCTTCCATATTTATTGAAATAGTAAAATATATATTTCAACTAAAACAGATTAACTTCTTCATAATAAATTATAGGAATTTCTATATGCATGTATGTATATATATAATGTACATGTATATTCAATATATAATCATAAACATCAATCCTATGTTGACATAGTAAACATGGAATTTTTTTAAAGTGGTGCTTTAAAAGTTGCAATATATATACTCAGACATAAATAAAAACTTAAGTTTAGCTAAATATCATTTAGAAAACCTTATTGCTGTTCTTAAAATAATGCCTTCATATTTGGAATGCACGTTAATTTTAGCTATGGAGTTTCTGTACCATTCTATCTAGGGTCATCCACACAAAAGTCACTGTGCCTTTAGGAAAATGCACAATGAAAATTCCATTGAATCTTTTTTTAAAATTTATATTTTAGTTAAAACAACAGGAAGTAAAGCTGTATTAGATACATAAAACAAGCCAATGTGAAAACTTCCTTTATATTATGAAGAATTTGTGGTAAATAAGGGAAGGGGCTGGAGAAGAGAAGAAAGGAAAGACAAAAGAAGAATTGAGTTTCAGCAAACAGAACTGGCACAGCCAGTCAAGGAAAATCTGAGGCACAAAAGGGAGACAGAAGGTGAGAGTAAAAAGTAGGAGACAAAGAAGCAATAAAAATGGGTACAATAACCCAAGAACACGAGTAGACTCTGATGTCACTGGGGATAGAATTAAATTGTCATTTTTCATACCCTGATTTTCACTGGGCTGATAGTATTCTTTCTACTAATAACTGTTAGTATGATGTGTTACTGCACACACTAACTCATTTTCTGCTTGCCAGAAAATGGTAATCTTGACTTCTTCGTGTGTCCTGCTCAGAACAGAATAAATACAGAAGCAACAGAAAGAAATAACTTTCTGAATTTGGGCAGCAATGACTCACGTTTACCCACATCAAGAAGTTTTCCTGCCCTGGCTTCTTCATTATTCTAGTGGGATTGCAGATTTTAATCAATATAAGAGGTCAATGTTGAAAGGAGAATTTAAGGAAATCAAGAGTACAAAGCTTACACACTTATATTTATGTGTTATGATTTAATACTCTCAAAAACAATTAAAAACAAAACCAGAAACACTTCACTAACCTTGTTTACTGCTGACAGAGACTACTGAATCAGAGCCATCATACAGAACACTGCCAATAACAGACAGCTCAAAGTCAGCCCAGTATATGCGCTCACTAAAATGATCCACAGCCAGACCTGGAAAATCAACATACACAGACAAATAACAGAAAGCAATTTGGTTTTGTTTCTTAACTGTGATTTGTGTTTTTCTTTGAATACCATAGATATTACTTGTTGTACATCATGTTACTACAGAAATAAGAAAAATTGAAATTCCTTCATTCTTATTGCAAATATATGTGTTCGGATTACAGAACATTTATTTAATAAGGTATAAGATAATATTTGCATAGAAAATGAAAAGTTAAATGTCCTTCTTTTCTATACTTACTGGGTTCTTAATTATGGCTGTTCTCTAACAGAATTTTACATAATGTTTTAATTTTTATCTTTATAATAAATTTAGATAATTGACATGACACTTATTCAATTTAATTTGGTATAATTAGTTATATTTTTATACTCTTCATGAAACTATAATTCCCAGAATATAAAAGGTTCATGGATTTGGGATTTGGCCCACAGTGTTTGAGATACCTGTATGCATAGTAAAGTTTAAAGTGCCAAGAGATTGATGGTTATGTTGGGAAAGAATGAATAGTAAAGTCTTTAATTTAGGTTCTAGCAATACTTGAATTTTTCAGTCTAATAATTAATTTGCTATGAGACTGCTCATCTTCATTTTCATGGTAGGTTTCTACCAGAAATTAACAATAACTAAAATAACATGTGGTAAAAATTATGTTTTTCTACTCTATATTTTTTGCTTTGGTTTTATAAATCTGATTGGAGTCCAGCCAGTATATTCTTGGAAAAATATTATTAACACATAGACTACCTTAATAATTAGTAAAGTTCTTTTAATATAAAAGAGTAAGATCTATGACATAAGAATTCTATCATAAACCTTGACCAATGTAGAGATTTACTTTGTCCTATATAGCTTTTAGATATACAAATTACATAGTTTGAAAGTACAATGCACTATACATGTACTTTGTAGATGAGTGCTTCAGAGCTTTCCCAATTAGAACATTCAATAATGTCAAGGCAGTGGAATAAAAAACATTTTTTTGAGTTTGTGCTTCATCCATATTCTTTTGCAGATGGACCAAGACTTATTCGGAATGGGAAAAAATATATATAGTGAAAGTAATTAGTAAACAACTCTTCAGTTAATTATATAGATCTATCCCAAATCTAATCAAGCTAAATGTAAATATTGCTCCTTAAGTAAAATATAGAGATGCACTTTGTCCAACTTATCCCTGAAAAATTACTTAACAATTAAAGCAAGTGGTCTATGCACCATTTGTTTCTGCTCAACAATTATTTGCTATTTGGACTCATTTTTGGAGTTATAATTTTGCTTCTTCATGTATAATTATAAGTAACATGAGCTGTAAAATGATCCAATTTCTTTCTCCTGCCATTATAGTTCAAAGTAGTTATTTAAGAAAAATAGAAAACATTTTTTTTCCTCTGTGAATGCAATATAATAAAGAAGTAGATAAAATAAAAGCCTCTACCCAATAAAATTAGTTTTATACTTAAAAGTACTAAATTCTCTAATCATGAAAAAGAATAAAAAATAAGTGTGTGATCCACACACACTTTGTTTCTCAAATTCAAGAGAAATAGAAGATTATCAAAAGTATCATATAGTAGGTTATTGATCTAGCCTTGGCCCAAATATACTCATCCTTATCAGCTCTTGTCACATAGTGTGCTATTGGAGAGAATTAAATCTAGCTGAGAAATTATTTAGCAAACTTTTTAGATGAGTGAGGTTTATATTACAAAAAAATCCACAAATCAATAGTTATGATTTTTCCTTAAGCCCTTTAATAAAAACAGTAGACTTTTAAATTAAAAAGTTAATAAAAGAATCAACTAACTTTTCATGTTATAGTAATGAAAGTCTAGTTTATAGGAAAGAACAAGTTTATATATATATATATATATATATATCTTTAAAATATCATATCTCCTTTAAGAACCAATAATAAAATGAAAAAAATCATTCTCAAGAAAGACTTTTCTGAACTGGCAATTACAAATATATGGAATCAAGTTAGTAGGAGCACAGAAAATTTAAAATAAAATGCTATTCTTGCTTTAATAAAGCATAACAATCACAATTTGATAGAAGATACAGACATAAGCTCAGCAAAATTAATGACTCGTGATAATGGCACTAGTCATGTACTCATTTTCTTATTACTCTATCTCCCATGGGACCAACACTACACTTATATTTCTATATTTTTAAGTATTAATTTTTGAACTCTGCAACCTTCAAATATCTTCTAGTTGTTTCCATTATTGACCAAAAAGAGAAAAATGAAATGTAGAAAACAAAAGTATTATGAGAAATGACCATAGCAGCAGTACCAGTATAATATTCAAGAGAGATGACTAAGAGAGATTAATAAATTTAAAGCAGTGTGTTTTAAGAGATAGAATAAAGGATTAGACATATTCTGTTTTGAGGAGACATTAATATTTGTAGCTTAGCAACAACCAGCAAGCATGTGCTACTATATTCTTGATTTAAAAAAGATAGTGTGAGGGGTTCAAGTAATTAAAAATATTCACTATGATATCAAATTTATTTTCAAAAATTCTTTAAAGTATTTTTAAGATAGGTTGTCCCCATAAACTCTCAGATTCTAAATTATATTAAAGTTATTTTTCTACACATGCACACAGAAACTTATTTATCATGCACACACACATGAATGGCAGGTTTAGTAAAAAATGCATCAATAAATAGCAAAAGAGTCCTATGACTTATATCTATTGTATTTAATTACTTTTTGGGCCAAAATTTTCCTTAATGAATCAAACAACTATGACTCATGCAGGGACAGTGTATAAATAAAGTGAAGGTACTTTTTATTCTCACTGAAACTACCTTCATTTGGGGGAGATAGGAGTTAACATAAACAACCCTCCATAAATCAAAGGCTATGTTATTTAAGTCAATCTTACATAATCCTACACACCCTTTATACCAAAAAGAAAAGTGAAAAATGTCCTTAATCTGACACTGCATTCGGTAGTTCAACATATTCACTGACATCTTATTTATATCAACTGCCAAGTGCAGGCAGTGCAAGGCACAAAACAGATCATGCTCCTGCTCTCATGGGGCATGCTACTCAATTACACAATAGGCTTAAAATGAAGGTAGATTGTGCATCATGTGTTTACAGTAGTGCTTGATTAAAAAAATAAAAAACAAGAGTAATTGTACCATTTGTTAAAGGAGGATTTGATTAGAGTCTTAAAAGTTGTAGTCATTCATCTCTTAACTCATGGAATATGTAATTGTTTGCAAGCGCACATTAATTACAAACATTATAATATTCCATCAGGACCTTAACAAGAATATCAATAATGGCTTTTGATGAGCAGAAGCTTTTTAGTTTTATGAAGCCCCATTTATCTATGCTATCTCTTAGTTGCTGTGCTGCTGGGGTTCCATTGAGAAAGTTCTTACCTATACCTACTAACTCCAGAGTAGTTCCTACTCTTTCCTGTACCAACTTCAGAGTCTGTGGTCTGATATTAAGATCCTTGATCCATTTTGAGTTAATCTTGGTATAGGGTGATATACATGGATCTAGTTTCAATTTTTTTTCAGACTGCTAACCAGTTTCCCCGGAAGGTTTTGTTGAAGAGGCTGCTATTTCTCCATCATATATTTTTAGCTCCTTTGTCACAGACAAGTTGGTTATAGTTATGTGGCTTCATATCTGGGTCCTCTATTCTGTTCCACTGGTCTTCATGTCTGTTTTTGTGCCAGTACCATGCTATTTTTATTGTTATTGCTTTGTAATATAGTTCGAAGTCAGGTATCATGATACCTCCAGCATTGTTCTTTTGACTGAGTATTGCCTTGGCTATTTGTGGCCTCTTGTGTTTCCATATAAATTTAACGGTAGATTTTTCAATCTCTTTAATGAATGTCATTGGAGTTTTGCTCATCATATTCTGCTCATCAAAAGAAATGGTCTCTAAACTGAAGAGAACACCCACAGAGTGGGAGAAGATATTTGCCGGCTACACATCAGACAAAGCACTGATAACCAGAATATATAGGGAACTTAAAAAACAAAATTCTCCCAAAACTAATGAACCAATAAAGAAATGAACAAGTGAACTAAACAGAACTTTCAAAAGAAGAAATTCAAATGGCCAAAAAACACATGAAAAAATGCTCACCATCTCTAGCCATAAAGGAAATGCAAATTAAAACCACATTAAAATTCCATCTCAACCCTGTTAGAATAGCCATCATTAGCAACACCACCAACAACAGGTGTTGGCAAGGATGCAGGAGAAAAAGGAACCATCTTACACTGTTGGTGGGAATGTAAACTAGTACAACCACTCTGGAAAAAAATTTGGAGGCTACTTAAGAAGCTAAACATTGATCTACCATTTGATCCAGCAATACCACTCCTGGGTATATACCCAAAAGACTGTGACACGGGTTACTACTCCAGAGGCACCTGCACACCCATGTTTATTGCAGCACTATTCACAATAACCAAGTTATAGAAACAGCCAAGATGCCCCACTACTGAAGAATGGATCAAGAAAATGTGGTATCTATACACAGTGGAATTTTATGCAGACATGAAGAAGAAAGAAATGTTACCATTCGCTGGTAAATGGATGGAATTGGAGAACATCATTCTGAGTGAGGTTAGCCTGGCCCAGAAGACCAAAAATCTCCCTCATATGTGGGCATTAGATCAAGGGCAAACACAACAAGGGAATTGGACTTTGATCACACGATAAAAGTGAGAGCACACAAGGGAGGTATGAGGATAGGTAAGGCACCTAAAATAGCTAGCATTTGTTGCCTTCAATTCAGAGAAACTAAAGCAGACACCTTAAAAGTAGCTGAGGTCAATAGGAGAAGGGGACCAGGAACAAGAGAAAAGGTTAGATCAAAAAGAATTAACCTAGAAAGTAACACACATGCACAGGAAATTAATGTGAGTTAACTCCCTGTATAGCTATCCTTATCTCAACTAGCAAAAACCTTGTTCCTTCCTATT